GGATCCAAAGATATATCCATTTTTTCACTGAAATAAAACTTAAACTCAAAATTATTATAAACACCACGTGTTTTCTTCGTCGTAACGTCGTGACGACTAATCCAAGTCGTTACAATTACGCGCGGTCATTCTCTAGGGAACCTTGAATAACAGTGTTTCGCTGTTGCCAACGTTCCCATTTTGGGAACAATGAATGCTGAACGTGATATCTTTAGAAATAAGTTACCTAAATGTGTTTTTTGTAAATATTTCCTTTATATAATTCATTTACTGTATTTCTATTCAAAAATAAATCACAGTTTGGTACATATCGACTCCCAGTAACAACTTTAGCACAAAAAAGCAAGTGATATGAATTTGGACGTCATTTTGCGCGGTTTCTAGATGAATCCCGTAAGTAAAAAAACATCTCAGCTAACAGAAAGTAAGAATGGGACATACAGAAAGCATATTTGTTACAATATTTGAAAATATTTCAATATTTTCTGAATCCAACTTATTTTTTACTGTGTTCCCTAAATGGGAACGTTGGCGTTTAAAAGGTTAACGTCAGATAGTTACGCAATGTTACTTAGAAATAAAATAGTACCTACGCTGAGAAACTTGTTTGGGACCAATGTTAATCAGATATGGTTTTTGCAAGATGGAGCTCCAACTCATTTTGGTGTCAATGTTCGGCGTTATTTAGATGAAATATTTCCTGGACGATGGATTGGTAGATGAGGTAGAATTGAATTTTTTAAATTTGAAACCTTAGGAGGAATTTACTTCGTTAGATTCCACGTTCACCTGATTTCAATCCTAAATATTTTTTGGGGTTACTTGAAAAATTCAGTTTACAAAACTAAACCAGCAAGTCTTGCAGATCTAAGGCAACGAATTATTGATGAATCTCGAATAATTTCTAGACAATCATGGAGAAATGGGGTAGATGCATTCTATCATAGATTAGGATACTGTCAACTCACAAATGGAGCAGATTTTGAACACTTGATAAAGTAACCATTATGTTAAAAAATGTTGTAATCTATCAATTGTTACGTTCTAATATAGTTGAAAATAGTTAGTATTAAAAAATTTATTGAGACAATTAGGCGTGGCCAGACTGTTGATTTATGTATTTAATACCTTCCAGACTACACAAAATCATAAGTGTTACATATGGTTGAACTCATATTGAATGGGAAATTCTAAAAATGACTGAATATACAGAGTGATGTATTTGAAAAACCAAAGTTACTAATAATACAAGAGAAACGGCAAATCTGCCAACATTGCAAATATCAAAAATGGAATCTCCGTATCCCAAAATAAATGTACCTTAAAATTTTTACAATTATGACTACCAATTTACGAGATAATTGGCCGTTTCTAGACTTTTGGGCCACTCTGTATAAGTGAGAAACTATTTAATTTTTGTTGACCTAGTGTGAAACAGAATTTTTTATTCTGGTCAATACTGAAAATCATCTTTCACCGTTTACTTTACTTATTGAAAGGGTTAAATAAATTCTTAGGATTGTGTTTAAATTTGAAAATGTTGCAGAAATATTATTTCGCTGAATAAATGACCACATGGATACAGGCGAAATAATATGTATTTTACTTGCAAAAGTTTAGTATTTTAGTTTTAGTTTATTTTAGTATCTTACTTACAAAAAATTGTAATACTTCATTTTTCAGTTTTTCTAGGTTTACGTTTTGTTCATAATATTTTAATTCCTCTACCTTTTTTAATATTGCTAATTAAAGAAGCTTCTGATCTGTTAGCTGATCTAGGTGAGATATTAGTTATTGAATTAATAATCCGAGAGCATAATTTGGCTTTATTTCGTTCACTATTGTGTGTTTTAAACATTTTAAGATATAATAGAAAATCATTAATCACATATTATCGACGACAAATAGTTTATAGTACCCGTGCCTCAGTTTGCATATTTTTTATGTGTTCCCGCCATAAGTCGATCGAATTCGGATAAATATTTCAAAGCACCTATATAATTACCAATATTTTTCCCAAATGCACTTCATTTTTAAAACGAAACACTAGAGAGAAGATCTTCTATTCGATGCAATAAAGGGTCAAAACAAATCACAAGAAAGTTAATTATTGTCTTCTTCAGAAGAATTAATAGCAGGGAAAAAGTTAAAAGAGATTGGTTGGCTCATATCACAGTTATACTGAAAACAACAACTTATTCAACTGTTACGTCTGTACATTATTTTCCAATCAAACAACGCTAATAACAGCAGGGCCGAATCATTGGAAACATGTCCATAAAAAATTGTCAGAGCATACAAACTCCAGTGACACACTCCATTTTATTTTGTATAACAAGTTCTAAAATTGCCCGACATATTGACACTAAACTGGAAAAGCAAATAATAAATTAAAACAACCAAAATAGAGATGTACATATACTTAAATGTGTGATCGCGACAATCGAATTTATTTTTTATACTCTTTAGCCTTTCGTTATAAAAATGAAGTGTTTTTAGTGAAAATATTGGTAATTATATAGGGGCTTTGGAATATTTATTCGAGTTCGATCGAGTTGTTAAGGGAACACATGAAAAAAGATTTTCAACACACTATAACATTTTTTTTATTATTAATATATTAAATTATTTTTAATTCCCTTTACCCATGGTGATGATACGCTGATGGTCGTGTTTACGATCAGAAATTTTTATTGGGAAACTATCTAAATATTAAGGGAGAATCTACCTACCTATTTATTTAAAGACGCCGGTTTGGCTAATTCTTCGTTAATGCTTTCCATCTTAATCCTGAGTATGAAAGGAACTAATGCTTTTCGGTGAAGGCGGGTTCCTTTATAATAGATTTGTAAATAATCCGAAGGCACGTATAGTAATTATTGTTCTGTAAAAACCTAATCTAGAAGATTTATATTTCATCACGTTTGTAGCTAGAAGGGTACCGTTATGTTCGATGTGAGTTAGAACTTTTTACCTTCTCAGAAATACATACAACAGGCCTATGATTTTTGAGTAGGAGATATCCCTTTTTCCTTTTTTTTTGTAGTTGGGTAAATTTTTGCAAGAAAGACTTACTTCTGAGTGGGCTCTCGTTGAGTAAAGGCTGATATCTCGTGAGACCTTTCTCTCACATTATCGTATTTGTTATCTTACCGTCTGTAAATTATTTTCTTAAAAACTGAAATAAACAAGTGTGTATACACTTGTTTATTTCAGTTTTTTATCTTATACTATATTAGAGTAAATATAGTTATAAAGTACCTTTAATGTTAATTAAATTCAGTATTTAATACAAGTATGGTATTAACTTCAGTGAATTAATGCAGCAGTCGTCAGGAATTACTGTAAGTTACCATATTCATAGTATGTACAATTATCTGGGCGAGTAATATGGTATGGTATCATATCATCTTCCATTATCTGGGCGAATCAAAGTTCATCCATGTCTTCACCTGTAGTGGAGAGTAACTACTGAATTTTGCATTCAATTTAAAGAACAGTCAATATTTTGTTACGAACCAAATTCCATCAGCTACTAAGAAATTTCAATAAGTAATAATTATGAACATTTAAGTCTCAGTTTATCATTAAATAATAGTGCGAGATAGCTAATCGACTTAAGCAAGTGCGGTTTGGTTAAATTTTTATGTTTTCATTTCTGTGTAACCTTTTCGTATTTTTGTAAATTTAGATTTGATTAATTTTTGTTATCTTTTGTGTTTGTTATAATGTTTATTCATTTTTTTTGCTGTAATATCTCTAGATACGCCAAAACTTTATTTGTGCATGATTATATTATATATCTTTGTAAAGTTATTTTCTCATTATATTACTGCTTATTTTTATATGTATACTACCATTTCATAGTTGTTGGTGTATTTTTATCTTGTGTGTACATCCAGCTACCAATATCGTTTTGTTGTTGAATATATTGTTATTGTTATATGTATGTATTTTATTTCTCGGCTCCTAATAAGTCCCCTGATAAAATAGTAACTCTGAATATTTGCTTTTTACCTTTAAATATTACTATACCTTTGACCAGCAGAAATATTAGCCTGATTTAGTTTCGTAGGTTAGTAGGTATAATACCTAATATAATTTTTATTTGTTTATGTAGAGTGTTAATCCAATTTATTTAATGATTAACTGTTGATACCTTTTCTTGGGTTTGATCTCTGACCCTAAATATATTTCTTTATCTCTTTTATTTTTTAAAGTTTCTTAATTTTTTCCTTAAACCCCAAAAAAATTGAGTGGCGCCCTGTTTCTATCTTATCGTATCTTTGGTAATTTACCCATCTATCTTTTCGTTTATTTCTGTTTTTTTTTTCTAATATATCTTATCTGGTTCTGTTTTTACTTATTTCGTCCATTGGGCCCATTCCCGGTTCCAAAAGCTAGTTTCGAACTCACGACTCGCTCTCCACCAACCATTTGGCTGCCGTCCGCAGTGTCTCCATTGGTGACCTTTCTAGCACCATCCAAAAAAGATTTCCGAGGTTACAACACAATGGTTAACGAAATAAAGGAAGCCAAATTTCACTCTCGAATTATTGATTCAACACTTAATATCTCACGTAGATCAGCTAACAGATCAGCAGATTCTTTAATAAGCAACATTAAAAAAATTAAGGATATAAAACTGTCAACAATTTTTTTATGAGAGTGATGTTAATGACTCTTTAATAGAGGAATTAAAATATTATGAATAAAATGTAAACCTAGAAGAACTGATAAATGAAGTATTACAACTTTTTGTAAGTAAAGACTTTTATAAGTATATCATTTACCTTGTTTTTCTATGATTGCAAGAGCCTATCCTGTTATGATACATAGACACAAATATATTAGATTTTATGTATATTTATTTAGAGTAATTTTGAAGCCAGAAAGACTTGTGTTTTTTTTTTTCAATACGAAAATATTACACTTCATAAATATTAATTTTTATCTATTATTGGATTAAATACAAATAAGTAATTGGCAAACATTTTTAGGTACACTGTGATGGCGGGAACTCCGCAAAAAATGTTAGAGCACGTTCTGGAAACAAGACTGGATGGCCGCGGTTCAGGAGGCGCTGGTGAAAACTTTATCGTCAGTACTGCACAAGATCCATTTTTGGACGATTTTCTTCTTACTCATATAGTCTTCTTACCTACGCACCAGTTAGTCGATGAGTTAGACAAATAATATCCTTTTTAAACAATAGCAGTAAATGTTCAAGTCATTAAATACTATTTTTATACAAAAATTTATAAATTTTAGTGTCTCTTAAGTGTCAGAAAGGGTTGTAAACCTTTGTATTTGTAAATTTCTTGCATATTATTTAAAATTTTATAATACAAGTTGCACATTTTTTAGATAGAAGGTGGTTTTGGTGAAGTTGAAAGAAAGGTATAACCCTTTATGGTGGGATATAAGCGGAAAATACATATAAGCTGATATACAGACGCAATATACGTGAAATCCAATCTTAACTGTCTTTCCTTTTATTTCGATATACTCTATATAAGTACTAGAAACCAATTCGCCAAGGATTTTTGCTTATTTGAGGAGATGTGTTGTGGAGTACAATTTTAGATTTTCCATGTCTCTAATTATTACATCTGTAGCAACGTCTCGTTGAAGAGTAAAACACCTAAATTGAGATGCTTACAAATCGCCACTTGGAACGTTAAAAGTATGTACGAAAGTGGCAAAGCACATAACATCGTAAAAGAAGTCAAGAGACTCAAAATCGATATAATGGGTATCACTGAAACTCATTGGCCCAACTCGGGAGAATGTAATATCCTAGACCATGAAATGTACTACTCTGGTAATGATACCACAATTATGGAGTTGGAATAATCGTTGCACCTCGTTTAAAATCGTTAATAAAATCCTACACTGCACTATCAGACCGAATGATTCTTTTACAGCTGTATGCGTCCCCATTTCATTTGAACATAATACAGATATACGCACCTACAGCTGACAAAGAGGAAACAATAATCGAAGACTTCTACGAACAACTAGAAATCTTAATTAATGCAACAAAAAATAATGAAATAACACTTATAATGGAAGATTTCAATGCGAAAGTAGGACGAGGCAAAACAGGAAAGGTAGTGGAAAATTTCGGACTTTGTGAAAGAAACGAAAGAGGAGCTCGTCTAGTTCAATTTTGCCAAGAACACAACTTAGTACTTACTAACACTCTCTTTAAGCTCCTGCACCGTAGACTCTATACCTGGAAATCACCGGCAGACTCACCTGGTAAAATAATCAGAAATCAAATAGATTATATCGCTGCACCAATCAGGTTTAGAAACTCCATCAAAGCCGTAAAAACTTACCGGGTGCGGACGTAGCATCAGACCACAATCCGGTGGTATGTAAGTTTGAAGTAAAGTTAAAAAAGCCAAATGTAAAGAACAGGCCCGAAACACTAGATATTAGGAAACTTTCAAACAGTAATATTAAACAACAGATGCAGGAGAATTTAAATACCGAAATAGCAAAAATACTTAAAAATTACAATGAACCGCTGGAAAAGTGGAGTGAAATTAAAGAAGAGATTAGGACTTCAAGCACTAAGTTTTTACTATCTGATAAGACAAAAAAGAAAGACTGGATGACTGCAGAAATCCTTGCCATGATGGAAGAGAGACGGATATATAAAACTAAAGATACTGCCAAATACCGTGAAACCCTTAGACGAATAAGAGCTGAGATAAGAAAAACTAAAAGAGAAATGGTGGAGAAAATGCGAAGAAATCGAACAGTGCGAAAAGGTATACGACTATCACAATATACATGAGAAGATAAAGGAACTCACAATAAAGAAAAGCTACAATATTTTATCGAAAGCATGTGCGATGATAATGGAAATCTACAACTAAGTTCCGACAAAATAGTTAGAATCTGGGAAACTTATGTGGAACAACTGTTTAATGATGACCGTCCTAGTGGGTATATACTGAGCAATGATAATACTGGCCTTTTTATTCTAAAATCAGAAGTGGAGAATGCTATAAAGGGTCTTAACCAGGCAACGATAACGTATACGGGGAAATATTGAAAATGCTGTGCGAAACAAACTGTCAATTTCTAGACTCACCCGTCAGACAGCAATAGCAATAGCAAATCAGCAATATTTACAACAGCGGGGAGTTTCCTGAAGACTGGCTAGAGTCAACTTTTGTTGCCATACCGAAAAAACCAAAAGCAAAGTCTTGTGATCAACATCGGATGATAAGTCTAATTAACCACATTTCGAAGGCATACACCAAGGTTATTTACAACAGAATAAGCAAAAAATGCGAGGATAACATTGGAGATTCGCAGTATGGGTTTCGAAATTCTCTTGGGACAAGAGAAGCACTTTTTAGTCTACAGGTACTCATCCAGCGCTGCAGAGATATAAACAAAGACGTGTACATATGCTTTATAGACTACGCAAAAGCATTCGATAACGTAAAGCACGAAAAAATAATTGAAATTCTCCATAAGATCGTAGTCGACTACAGAGACATTCGAACAATAGCGAGTCTCTATTGGGGTCAAACAGCTAAAGTGAAAGTAGGATCTACATTGACCAATAAAATTCAGATCAAGAAAGGGGTACGAGAGGGCTGTATCTTGTCTCATATTCTCTTTAATATATACTCAGAAGAAGTATTTAAGACAGCGCTGGAGGAAAGCACAGAAGGCATTAAGATAAATGGAGAAATAATTAATAACATACTGTATGCTGATGACACTGTGATTCTAGCAAGTAGCATGTAGGAACTGAGTTGCCTAATGAGTAAGATACAAAAAACAAGTGCACAAATGGATGTTAGTAAGCAAAACCCAATAACCACCACAGCAACTGATATTGGACAATGAAAGAATTGAACACGTGGATTCGTACATCCACTTGGGAACAACAGTTAACTCAAATTGGGATCAAGCGAAGGAAATACGTATAAGAGTAGAAAAGGCAAGAACATCGTTCACTAGCATGAAGCAAATTTTCACCTTGAAAAGCCTCACCCTACCTCTCAAAATTCGACTTCTGAAATGTTATGTATTCCCGGTTTTGTTATATGGAATGGAGGCGTGGACAATGACTGCAACATTAATGAAAAAAGTAGAGGCCTTCGAAATGTGGGGTTACTGACGTATATTACATATATCCTGGACTGAGCACGTTACCAACGAAGAGGTACTACGCCGGATAGGTAAAGAGAGAGAGGTAGGAATAAGTATAAAGAAAAGAAAGTTGGAATACTTCGGTCACGTTATGAGACATAATAAATATAGAGTTCTAGAGAAGACACTCGTGGCTCTAAAACTTGCGGCAATGGTTCGAATTGTCATCTGCTGAACTATCACACACAAATTAAAGAAAAAATCTGAATTTGGTTTCGACAATTAGAAATCTTCGGATTTTGAGTTTTGGGATTTAATACTAGATGTCGCTATTACGTCCATATCGAAGACATTTTAAAGTTGCTTCTATTACGACAGTAAATATTGTTTTCACGTTCAGAGCGTCTCTAAATAGCCGCTACGAAGATTCCCTTTAGGATGAAATACGTCTAAGCGGATAAACAGATGCACTATGCGTGAAGTCAGATCTTAACTGTCTTTCCTTTTACATACTTATATATTTATTTTAGTATAATTTGATTTTGTAATAGTTTTGCCCATATTATTCACACATCAACTAATAACGATGACTATATAAAATGTATAAAATATTGCCTCTTACAATAACATAACTTAGAAACCTAAAAATAATTGTGACCACATCTACAATTCCTTACGAGAAGAAAAATGGCCATGTATGTATGTATAGTATAACAGGCCTGTCAGGTCCATTTCTGGATGGATAAGTTACATCGTTTTGTGTTCCTAGCTATCAGCTTTCAATCTCTGATTTTTACCTCTCTGGCATCTTCCATCACTACATCTCTCCATTTCTTTCTTGGTTTTCCTCTCTTTTTTGCTTTTAGGTACTCTCCAATCAATATTCTTGACTTGTCTATTACTTTTCATTCTTTCTAGATGTCCGAGCGATCCTAATATATGTTTTTTTACTACTTTTGTTATTGGAGGATTAGTATATAATTGGTGCACTTCTACATTAGTTTATCTTCTCCATTCTCCCTCTACTACTTTTCCAGCAAACATTCTGTGAAGTATCTTTCTTTCTCATACTTCCAATATGTTCTTTATGGTTTTTTTTCATGTCTCGGCAGCGTATAGCATTATGGATTTAAATAAAGTTTTGTATACTCTTGTTTTTGTATCATTTTGTTCATTATCCCAGCACTTATGTTGCACTTGGTTAGTCTCAGGTTGATTTCAGTTTCTTCCTTACATGTTTGGTCAATAAGTGTACCTAAGTACATATATTCGTTGACCTTTTCGAATTCTACAACTGATACATCCTCCCCCTCTAATTTAAAGGAGCGCATGGTGTTCATTTATTTTTGGCTCAACCGCTTATAAGCCATATTGCTTTAATAAAATGTTGACATTAAGAAAGATACAAGGTGTTAAAAGTGGAAATTGAAATTTTTAATTTTCGCTATAACGTTAATGTTTGTGAACATTTATATATCAAAATTAATAACTGGGTACTATTGAACACTAGAAATTACAATTTGCATACTTTAATGTAGCTCAAAGAGGGCGCCACGTATGCCACATATTGCTCTTTAAGTTACCGGTGTTTGTGATAAAAAATATTAACGATACATTATTTTAACAAAAAAAAAGATGTATACTTGTTAATAGCTTCAAAACTGAACAGTTTTCGAGATAATTGCATTTTACAAATCAACTACATAATTCTGATTTAACGCAATTACTCCATGCAACGAAAGAAAATTGGACAAAAACATCAATACTTCAAAATTTTGATATAAAAGACCTTTAATAAAGTTATTAGTCAACGAAATATAAAATAAAATAAATATGTCAGCATGATAGTTAATAGTAGGATTTAAAAAAATAACAGAATAATTTTATTTTACATCAAATATTTTAGGTTTGGTATTAAATTAAAGTCAAAATTAAAATATTTTATTTATAAACCAAATTAAGAAATAGTTAAACAAAATAACATTAAACTTTTTGTCAAAGTAAGTTCTTCAATTCATTTGTCAAGACATTCCATAAAAGAATGTCTCATATTAAATAGCATCATTGGTTCTAAAAAAACTGTTGCAGTATTTATTAAGTATTATAAGTATAATAAAAGTATTCTTTTGGAATTTTTATTATTAATTATTGGAATTAATGAAATGAAATGGAATTAATATCTCACCACATGACCAAGGAATATGACTACCACGAACAATCCAATGTTCTCTCTTTATAATGTGGTGGGGTACTATCTTGCATAAACCACATATTTCGCCCTAAGTTTAACGACAATTCTTCCAATAAATCAATGAAATCCTTTTATAAAAAATGTAAATAAATCTTACCATTCAAATTACAAGGTAATTCGCATGTCCGTAAAAAATAATTACCAACGGTTCCCAACCATACGTTGATTTAAAATTCATGATTAAAATGCATGTCTTACGGTTTGGTACCATTTGTGGACTTATTTACATTTTTTATAAAATGATTTTATTGATTTATTGGAAGAATTGTAATCAAACTTAAAGCAAAATATGTAGTTTATGCAAGATGGTACACCACCACATTATAGAGAGAGGGCAGTGAGAATACAATTAAATAATTTCTAAAGGATGGATTGTTCGTGATATTGTGGTGAGATATTAATATAATTACTTATTCATAAAGATCCCAAACGAATAATTTATTATTGTATTATATTTATGATATATTATACTTATAATACTTATTATAAATACTGCAGCAGTTGCTGCAGTATGGAGTAAAATGGAGTACATATCGAACACTTACTTTGACAAAAAGTTTAATGTTATTTAGTTTAACTCTTTCTTAATTTGGTTTATAAATAAAATATTTTGAATATGACTTTAATTTATTATAAAACGTAAAACGTTTGATGTTAAATCCAATTATTTTGTTATTTTGTCAAGTTTTACTATTAACTATCCTGCTGATAGATTTATTTTATTTAATATTTCGTTAACTATTAACTTTATTAAAGGCATTTTATACCAAAATTCAGAAGTATTGATGTTTTTGTCTAATTTTCTTTCGTTGCCTGAAGTAATTGTGTTAAATGAGAATTATGTAGTTGATTTGTAAAATGCGATTATCTCAAAAACTATTAAGTTTTGAAGTAATTAACAAGTATACATTTTTTAACGCCGGTAACTTAAAGAACAAAAAATTTAAGTGCAAATGTATGTCACATATGTGACATATGTGGCGCCCTCCATCAGCTACAGTAAAGTATGCATTAAATTATAATTCCTAAGTTTTAGTAGTACCCAGTTATAAATTTTTATACATAAATGTTCACAAATATAAAAGTGATAGCGAAAATTAAAATTTTAAATTTCCTCTTTAATACCATGTATCTTTTTTAATATCAACATTTTATTAAAGCAATTTTGCTTAAATCGTAATATTTTAAAGTGTAGAATCTACAATTTCTTATTGTACAATTACTTAAGGACCACCCTGTATAAATATTTATTAATATAAATCCAAGTACATCCATGTACTTGGATGGAAAAGATTTAGATGTCAAGGGATTTAAGTATTGGGATTTAGGTAAATGTAAATTTCCATGTACTTGGATTTATAAATATTAACTTTAAGTCCCATTTCCCGAATTGTTCTTTTTTCTATACTTGTCAGTTCTTTTCCATTTCTTGCAATGAAAACTAATAATAGGTTTTTTAGTTCACTTAATAGTTAGTTCACTAAATCATCCAAAATTATATAATTTTAGCAATAATAAAAATGTGTTTTCCTTAGCAAAAGTTACTTATAGGATAGAATTCACGAACCAGGATCGAGAATTTGTCCTGGCCTGTAAAAGAAGAGTAATACACTTCGTTTATAGATGGGTAACGACCGTACGTCATCCTGTATTCGAAGATGATATCGCCGTCGAATTTCTGGAGGAAATAGCTAATGAACTTGAAAACGATAGTTCACAGTTCGATGCCTTGCAAGAGGAAGCCGCCCTGATGCATCACGTCATGACGCAGTTAAGAAGGTAAACACGATTAAACTATACGGTAAATTAGGTTTTTATTTAAAGAAATAAATTTCGAATGGAAAATATACACCACCTACATACTAAAATATATACTACAATATTGCTAGAGATTAAATATTTATCTTATTGCTGTTTTCAGGAACTAAATTGCCACAATGTTCGATAAATAGGTCGGTTTTAGAATTGTGAAATAAACGATTAAATTTAGACATACAAATAATTTGGTACATTTAGTAAAAACTCTACCGGTCTCTTGTTAACTTGGACAGGTATATTACGATATAACATAAAATAAACGAATAAAAACCAAAAAACTAAAGATTAAATGAAAAATACAGATATATACAAAATACAAAAATACAGTTTGCAGAGATAACAAAAACATGATTAAGCAGTTAGGCAGCGGGTAGTTAGGAGAATTATTATTAGAGTAACACAATTAACTAGCAAAGTCCATCACTTCCAGATATACAGGCAAAGACAATAATGATTATGACCAATGAGAAAAAAGGAGCAAGAAACTTTCCTAACAACCTAAGACCGGAGATTCCTTAGATAATTTTAAGACAATTTAACCCAATTTAACACAATTTACCCAGTTCGAAAATGCTTCCTAAGGGAGCTATATATTTAAAAGAGTTCTTTGAAGATGATATCGTTTAATTAGGTTTTTTAAATACCTTCATAACGCTTCTATTTAGAAAAACAAAAACTGGTAGGAATATTTTATCCTCCAAAGTTGAATCGATTTCATCAATTGCCAATTTTTAGTACCAGTTATAGGCGGCCGTTTTGGGTAGGTCAACGGATATTTTAACGCATTATTTTTTGAAGTTATACTTCTATACGCACGGTCGGCGTTGGAAATTTGCATGAGAGTGAATCTGTGAAAACATTACATATGTAAGATAATGAGTAAGAGAGAGACATAAGATATATTTTCTCTCTTCCTCTCTCGAGCATAAAAATGTTCCTTTTGTGTATATATATATATATATATATATATATATATATATATATATATATATATATATATATATATGTAATATTATATATATTATATATAATATTACATATATAATATAATATGTATTAATATTATTATTTATGTGATATGTTTTGTATTATTTATTAAACGTTTATAGTTTATAATTATTTTAGGCTTTTGTATTTCAAAATAATCATAGTTTGATCGAGAACTCTCAGTTTTAAAATCCGTTAGTGTTGTGTCCAAGTGGCAAATCCTTTACGTGTTTGGTTTATACGCGGGTGGTTGTGAGTTCGAATCCCAATATGAATTTCCCTTTTTATTTTTGAAATATTTAAAAACCTCACATTAAGCTTATTAAATATATTTTATATACGCAAAAATGCTAAAGTTTAAAATAAAATGAAAATTTACAGCATAATCCGAGTTGTTGGTTTTTTATTTTTATCTTCGTAAAGCAAGTTATGTATATTGGCAGTTTTAAATAGTTATGAATATTGCATTTTAATTTATATTGTATTATTATATTGAATTATGCTGCAGTGTATTTACTGTATTGTAATTTTTATATTAATAACAAAATAATCAATAAATTTTACTGCAGAGTATGTGTAAAAAATTTTTTTTGCATTCAACTCCTTTTATACATATCTATGTCTATGAAAATAAAAATATATATTTTCATTAAAATATTGATACAATCCTTCATTTAATATACTCCTATTACAGGTCAAATGTTTATATACAGCAAACGATGCACCATATACCTATATAACTAATTCCTTTTCTCTTTCTGCTCTCTCTCTCTCTCTCTCTCTTTCTTACCTATAGCATTACATATGTAATGGTTGTGCAGATTGACTCCCATATAAATTTGTAACGGCTAACGCGTGTATATAATTATAACTTCTACGGGCAGTCCCACTGGACTGCCACACCCATTTTTTGTTTTTAATTTTTAAGCATTCGTGATACTATAGTGTATTTTTATGTATGAGAGAGTAATAAAACAATAAATTATGTATGCAAATCCCTAAACTGTTGATACGGGTGACTCAATGAAAAACAGATATTTGTCAACAAGTTTACAGAAGTATATAGGAAAACAATTTTAAATTGAGTATGACCACCAGGTATAAAGGTTGGAGCAGAATAGTTGTGAGGGTTACTAATCCCTAAATAAGGTTGCCAGTGTCGGAGTGATGGAGGTTAACAGGTACTAATGAATTTGCAAGAAATGTAAGATGTTTATTTTATTGGTTATATATAACCAATAAAAGTTTAATAAGTACCTACGTTTTATTTTATCTGAAATGAGTGCATTCCACGAAGTAAGGGTTTCAACAATCAAACATTTAATTCTTTAATTCCAGGCATCTACGACAGTAATTGACTAGATAATTACCTTCTAAACTTATTCCACAGAAAATGTGATAGTGGGTTTTTCCATTTTGTAGGAAGGTCCAAGTGGCGTATTCAAAATTCTTAACAGTTCACTAAAAGTAGGTACTTCAGTTGCAAGGTGCAGTTTATTGTGTATACTAGTGTTATGGAAAATTTGGAAGTGCCGTGTAAACGCCGAAAAATTGGTCCTTTAACGGTTAATGAAAAAACATTAATATTTAATTGTTTTAAATCATTTACAGACAAACGTTTATGTGAAAGTGTTGATGAGACCGTTGAGTTAGTTAGCAGTACACTTGGTGTTGGGAAATCTACGTTTTACAGAGCTATTAAAGGAGAGAAATGTGGTTTTTTTCCAAATGAAACGTAATGCTCCAGGGAAACCAAAATTTCAAATAGAATATCATTTTAAAGAAGGACTTCGACGGAAAGTGCATGAATTCTTCTTTAAACAAGAATTTCCAACATTGGATAAAGTTTTTGTCTCAGTTCGAGATGATAAGGATTACCCAGAAACGAGTCGAAGTACGTTATGGAAATTTTTAAAAGAAATAGGCTTCCGCTGGAAAAAGAATCCCAGAAAGTCTATTTTATTAGAAAGAAGCGATATTGTCATATGGAGAAGACATTTTCTAAGAACCATAAAGGAAATGAGAAACCAAAAAAGAAAAATATTTTATCTTGATGAAACATGAATCAACGAGGGTCATACACCAAATAAATTTTGGCAGGATGAAACTGTTACAAGTCAAAGGCACGCTTTTGTAAATAACTTATCTACTGGTTTAAACCCACCATCAGGAAAGGGACGCAGGCTGATAATAGTACACATTGGCAGTTCAGACGGTTTTGTTGAAGGTGGTTTATTAACTTTTGAATCAACTCGTACCGGTGACTACCATGAAGACATGAACGCTGATGTCTTTCAAGAATGGTTCGAACAAATGATAGATCTTCTTCCTAAGAACTGTGTAATAGTAATGGATAATGCAAGTTAACACTCCAGACTTATAGAAGGACTGCCCATAACCAAGTGGTTAAAAAAAGACTTGCAGAATTGGCTGAGTTCAAAAAATATTACGTACCATCCCGGATCTATAAGAAAGGAACTTTATTCGTTGTGTGCCCTTCATAAAGAAAAATTTTAAAAATACGAAATTGATGAAATTGCCAAAAATCGTGGAATGACAGTACTTAGATCCCCACCATATCATTGTGAATTAAACCCGATTGAACTGGTATGGGCACAGATAAAGAGTGAAGTTTCAAGAAAAAATACCACTTTTAAAATTCATGATGTTAAACAGTTGTTTTTGGAGGCCGTAAATAATGTAAAACCTGAAAACTGGGAAAAGGCAGTAAATCACACTATTAAACAAGAGGAAAAAATGTGGAAGCTGGACAATATCACTGATAAAATGATCGAGCCAGTTATTATAAATCTTGGTTCTGAAAGTTCATCTTCTGAATCTGATTTGGATTTGTAACAAGTAGCTGTAAGTTTTATATTAATATTTTTATTCATCTATTTAACATACCTTAGACGGTTTTAAAAACTCTTTTTCTCTTTTGTTATTTTTAAAAATTAAAAAAAATATGTGAATTTTTTAAAACCCTTTTTAATGTAGGTCAGTCAGGTCTAATGTAGTGTGTGATAAAAGAGGTCACTTTTGTTTACATACACATAACACTTTATAACACTGAAATAATTCATTTATTTTTTACAATTATTCAAAGTAATTTTTCAATTAATCTTGAGCACGCCCATGGAGTGGTCGGAGGTACCAGTTAAAATTATGCTCATTACTCTCTCGTTCATAAAAATAAACTATAGACTATGCGATTTTCATGCATTTTAGTACTAAAAGGCTGTCCCACTTTAAGTTGGAATACACCGTTTCCGAGAAAAATCAATGTGAAAATTTTACGCTTTTTCCTCATGAAAGTTAAATTAATATTTTTCGCAGTAATTGACTTTGAACTGTCAACATAAGTATAACCTACGTGTTTCATTGTCCAATTTTTGTCAGTTTATGAGAATCTTTTTTAGTTTTTACTTTTTGGCATTGAAATATAATATTTTCAATTCAACAAAAATGGTTTTTACTAATCAGGATTACGCTAATATACATATAGTTTATTGCGGAATGAGGTGTATTGCTTGAGCAGTAACGTAGATACGCTAAAAAAATTTCCGATTAAGAGAAACAAGTTCAGGATTTTAGTGAAATAACACAGCTTATACATTTTCTCTTCCAAACCCTGAAAATACAAATTAATACTTCGTTAATGTGAGTAAAAATATAACAACAGTGATCTTGCTACAACAAAATCCTATTTCCTATCTCCCAATTCAAAAAAGGTCTAGAATTAATTTTTTATATATTTTATTTATAATATAAAGACCAGTTGATAAATCTGAACTGATTCGAACAATCAGTAATATCAAAAGCAAATTTTCTTGTAATACTAATGGACTATCCATAAAAATTTTCTTAAATCTCCCAAATTTAATAATGTGTTGGTAGTCCTGGTCTCATTAATTAACGATTTTTTAGAAAAAGGTATATTTTCAGAGTGCCTAAAGACAGACATTATTATTCCT